GGTCAGTTTATCAGAAAAAGGTCAATGTACATGATTTATTCTCGATAAAGTCATGCTGGCTCCTGGGAAGCAGTGCGTTCTTTACTAAATGCTCACCAACTGACTGCTCAATTATCGGTTTTAGGAGTGTGGTGACTCATGAGGTTAGAACGCTGGGCTGACGATCGGCAGGCTCACGTTTGAGACCCTCTGCTGCTGCGGAGTGGAGCGAGCTCCTGTCACAAGCTCCACCTCTGTTGATGCAGCAGTTTGAAAGCAGGCGATCACAAGTAGATAAATGGGTACCACTTTGGTGGGAGACTTCAAGGGAATGTAAAGGAGCCCCCAACTGGGCATCCCCTAGGCGACGGTGATGTCACTGGAAAATCCTTTTTACCATGGAAGCACTTCAGATCTTTTGACATGGAAACATTAATTATCTGTTCCATTTTTCTGATACTAATATCCAGCTGACTGGTCTATAATTCGTCTGATCCTCTTTTTCCTCCTTTCTGAAGCTAGGAACTGCATTTCCCTTCTCCAGTCCTCCAGTAATGTGTGTGTCCTTCATGATTTCTCAGAGAGCACCGAAATGTGCTCCAAGAAGACACTGCTAAGTTTCTTCAAGCCTTTCATATATAACTGATCTGGTCCTGGAGACTTAAACATATTCATGGTAGCCTCTTTACTTACCTTGTATTGCCTCTCCCCTCCTTTTGTTGTTCTACTTAGCTGAATGCAATTAAATTTTGGAGAGAAAATAGAAGCAAAGTAGAAGTTGAGGATTTCTCCCCTCCCCATATCACTTTTACTATCCAACCATATATTCCTACATCACCCCCACTCCCCATTGCCAGAAGATTTGCACAGTATATCCCAAATACTTTCACTGCTTGAAGTGCAGCCTATCTTTTAGCCAAAAGTTCTTTATCTTAAAAATCTCTTTAAAAAAAAAAGATTGTAAATTCGGGCACAGTGACATGGTGACCTGCTTTATGACCATCAGGACTTACCGTCAAAATTGAAGGTTCCATTATAGTAATAAGTCGAGGACTACCTATACTGTTCTGGAGTCTAGGCACACCATCAGCAGTGATATCCTGGAATTTATACAGAAGCTCCAGGGCATAATATCTCTTCTTGTAGACATGGGCCTTAGAGTAACATTCTTTGAGTTTTCCATTCTCTCTGCTTGACTTTTTTCTATTTTCTTTGAAGCTTCTTAGTCCTCCACAAGTGTTCATTAAGTTAGATTCAAGGGTTTCCCATCTTTCTTAATAAGCTGGGAATGTCCATTGCTGACAATAAAGCATTTGTGCTTTATATTTATATTCTTATCTTGTGACATCCCCAGTTATTTCCTGCTCACTTCTTTTCCATTATCATCCATCTAACAAATAGAGCTTGTTTCACCGAGTTCGTTGAGGAAGTGCCATTCAGTCTTGTGCCACGAATCCCTGTATCTTCTCAAGTGTTTTTAAATGCCAGCTATTAATTGTGTTTATTGGCATGCTGGCAGTAACCAAGGGGCTGAGTATCAGGAAATGTGCAAGCATAGAAAATGTAATCTGCTGGTACAATTTATGCATATCAAGTAACTTTTTCTTTTAACAGACTGTTTGATCTTACTAATATATCTATAAATCACTGGAGCTTGAAGTTCTACCATGCTTTATTCTATAATGGTGAGAGGAGGAAGGCAGAGTATATGCATGCATCTCTTCATCTATGGAAGGAAACAAACCTGCATATGCTAGATAGGTTGGACATTAAGCAACCTATTTAGGATTGTCATACTTTACCTAAGTTGGAATTAGGGTTAGGTTTCATTCAAACTTGACACAAAGCTTTTGCAACCTTAAGAAGATTGTTGCTGATATGTCTGCCTGTGTGTCTGCCTTCCTGCCCGTCTACCTACTTACCTATTGGATTTTGAGGCCACCCAATTTCAAAAAGATTCCAGGCAGTTTACAGTTTTTAAAAAGAACACATTATTTAAAGAAACATGATTGCCTAGACAAAGCTACGTAAACAACATGCATGAAAAAAATAAATTGACAGATTCTTCACAAATCCCCTAATCTCAGGCGTGGGAATGGAGCCAGATGTAATTATCTCATTAGGATTCTGTTCCAGAGCATAGGGCCATGACAGACTAGGTTGTCATGGTTTTCAAGGTCAGTCTCATGTAGGGTCCCTTGTACTGATTGAAATAACCCAGTCGTGAGGTCACTAGGGCATGAATAACCATTTGAAGGGCCCCACAGCTGAGGAAAGGACACAACTGGCATACATCATGGACCCAGGCAAAGGCCCTTCTGGCCACAGCTACCACCTGCTGTTTGAATAGTAGCTGTGAGTCTAGGACAATTCCCAAATTGCACACTTATCTTGAACGAGGAAATGCAACATCACCTTTTGGAGTTGCATGTGATAGTTCTGTGATGATTGATACCCTGTTTCAGAAGAAGAGAGTGCCCAGGCAAGGTCAGCCAGCCTCTTATTCTTGCAAGACTTCTCAAATAATAACATCTGTTCTGAACAACTCTTTCATCAATGAAGTATTATGGAAAAATAATAATAATATGGCAGCTTGTTATATTTTTGTCTGTCATTCTTAGTTGGAAATCTAGCCAGGAAAAAGGGTCTCAATTTACTGAAGCAGAAAAAACTCTTATTATATGGATAACTTACTCTTGCCTTTGCTAGGTCAGTTTCTCTCAGTCTGACTGTTCCTGCTTTGCTACAAGATTCTAGTGAAAAGATTCACAGAAAAACAAATGGGTTTGGTGGGGCCAAGGTCAATAAAATAGTGCTTAAGGCAAGGAAACTGTCAAACCAAACTAAATAAATCGAGCCAGTGAGGGAGGATTGAAGTGGAGTAGAATGAATGCCTGTAAGACCACAATTGGTGGGGAAATCAACGAGAAGGAGAGAAGAAATCTGTCATGGAGATAAGGCTGGAAGGAAGCGGTTTATTAGAATTGCTGTGGTGGATGAGTCAGATTCAGTGTAATTGTGACTTTGACATTAGATTCCTTTGCTGCTTTGTTCCTAAATTTAGCTTTAAGATGGAAATGCAACCTTTTTGAGTTTGACTTATTTTAACTGTAGGTGATTTGAAAGGGTTTATGCTGCCTTATTCTGATGCTTGCTTGAACTTTCATATAGAAGCTGTTGAAAGGCTAGAAGCCTCTTGTGACTGTTATTCAGTATAAAAGGTTGTATATAGATAAGCACCAATGAGCCCACAATAGAAGCTAGATTGTGACATTGCCAGGGGGCATCTTAAGGAGAACATCTTTCACTAGCTTATAGCGAAATTATACAATATTTTTACAATACTGATTCACCCTTTTTGTGTCGGACTCAGATCTTCACTCCCTTTCTAGAAGTATATTTTATAAACGTAAAGAATGTTTAAAAACCTAAGGAAAGACAAAGAAAATGCTGCACAACTAACTGTGAGCAGACAAAAACAGATTGATTGAAGTCTTTTTATGTACCTTCACATGACAGTGCCTATACTTCAGAATAAATGAATACTTTAGCTGGATGCTAGATACCCAGTTCTTGTATGAGAATACAAACCTTTCATATGGCCTTGCCTGTAGTGTCCTGAAAGCTCATATAGGAAGACTGAAATTCAGCCATTTCATAATTTGGATGTTTTCATTTTAACTCTATATTTATTTTTATTTGGTGGTTTTGCCTAGATGTTGCAGATGCCACGGTCCTGACTCCTAATACTTAGTCAATAAGGATATTTTGAATGTCCACAACTGCCTGTGTTTCTGTATTACCCTACTTCAGTATTTTTCAAACCTGACAAAATGAATGGACTTCAAATCTCAGAATTGCTGGCTGGGGAATTCTGGGAGTTGAAGTCCATATGTCCTAAGCTGACAAGTTTGAAAAGCACTGTTCGACATAGCAATAGCATTTAGACTTATATACCACTTCACAGTGTTTTACAGCCCTCTCGAAGCAATTTACAGAGTCAGCATATTGCCCCCAATAATCTGGGTCTTCATTTTATCGATATTGGAAGGAAGTCTAAATCATGTTGGTGTAATAAATATGCTAGAATATTTTTGCAGAAAATAGTCTTTAGAAAAAAAAACTATACATCTAGTCATGTATTCCTTTGTAACATACTAGAGGAACTTTCAAACGAGATCAAAGATTGCTGCTAATCCTTACAAATTTTCATTTTTAGGCTGCACTTCTGCTTTTCTGAAAGAAATATTGACAATATTGGAGTGAAAATGCAATTTTTTTCAGAAAGTTTCTATACAAGCTTTTTTTCAGAGTGTATGTTGTGTAAGCCTTAAAAAAACTAACTTCATGGAAAGCTAATAATTGTCTGAAAGCACGTTACCTACACTAATTAAATATGACTATAGATTGCAAGGGTATTATGAGTGTAACTCTGCAGTGTTGTCATGAACAATTTTAATAAAATGCATTTTCATGTAAAATGTGACTAAGACTTGACAGTAGTTTTTATAATAGATTTAGTTCTTCTGATACAACAACATGGGCCACGGTTTTGGTGGAAAACTTCCTTGATGACCCTCATCTTCTTGCTCTTATGCAGGGAAGCACAGGGCAACTTTAGAAAATTTACCTGTTCAAAAGATCATTTCAGAATGCATGAGGATACTATTCAAGATTAATGTGGGAGAGCTAACTGCCAGTCACTTAGAAAACTAATACAATTAGTGATGACTGCCAACATTTAAACCTGTTTCATGCTGCCCATTAGTGGCTTTTGAGCTATGTATTTCCTGGTCACAGGATAATATTGGCAGATTATCAATTATATTAACTCATCGTTACATAGAATAAGATTTCCATCCCATGAAGCACTCCATATTTAAGATCCTGTCAGAAGAGTTACTTTTTAAAGGATTCAGATGTGACCTTTGCAGACGAAGGAAATACAATATTTAATAACCCAAATTGCAGGCTTTATGCATGTTGTTTCCCCCTCAACTTTTGCAATTCTTGTCCTGTAGGTGTGTTGTTGTGCTGTTTAACCCCAGGAAAAACAAGCAACATCATATTCTAAACAGCTCCAGGTAAGTGAAAAACACTGAGTTCTTAATTATTGGTTTGCTTATATAGTTGTGAAGTAAATGTTGAAGATTTATCAATAATCTTCCTAATTAAGAACTGTGTCTCACTTTTATAATCTACAATGGACAAAGAGTGCATCTAAAGTTTACACACACACACACACACACACACACTCACTCACTCACTCACTCACTCACTCGACTAGGGAATCAATGCGTACAAAGAACAAAAAAATTTAGGAACAGTTTGAACAGGGATCACAGAATTTCTTTTTTACTCTTTGGGAATTTATTATGGAAGAGGAATGCTGAATTTCCTTTATGTTGAACTCTTGAGTATATCTTACATTGTGAATGCCAGAAATCAAGTCATGGTGATGCTAATTGTAGGGAACAAAATTGTGGTTAAACAGCTGGTTTCTTAATTTCGGCAATTTAAAATAATATAAGATTATTCTGCAGTTCAGGTGCTTAAAGCACTAAAGCATTTACAGAATGGGCTGTTGCACATTCAAGTTTTGATGTTTTTCCTTTTTACGAAATGCTGTGGAGGCTTGAACTGTTGAAGCCTCTTTTTCATAGATGACTCCTGTCCAGATCTAACATCTGAATAAATCTCTGTTGAAAAAGTGTGCTAAAGCAGCCATCAGCTTAACACAGATGTCCATTTTGTTCTTCTTTCCTGTGTTTCCTCCCATGCTGCCTAGAGTTATTCTGAAGTTGAGCATCTTAGAAATTCAATGAATGAATGAATGAATAAATAGTCTGACATTCAAAAGCTTTAACAGACAAATATTTATACAACAGGCTATGTTGATTCAACACCTAGGCAAATAACGATGTAGTGTTTGGCTCTTGTAGAACCTTCCTTCATAGTGCAAGGAATTGTACAGGAACAGCACTAAAGCTGCATGGCCTTATATTTACTTAATTCTATTGAGTTGAAAATGCCAATATTGTATTGATTTTGTAGCTTTTCACAGTAGGATTTCTTCTTTTGTTCAGGAAGACTATTACGGCCCTTGCTTTTTCTCCTGATGGAAAATACCTGGTTACTGGAGAGGTAAGTTTGGGTCACATGGCTCTCATGTGCCAGAAATTCAAGCATTCCTTCATATTTCAATAGTCAACTAAAGCAGGAATGACTTAAAAGCCTTACTCTGACAGGATGAGGAGAGAGACATGCTACAATAAAAAAATAGCTCCTTGCTTTGGGTGTCAGGAAGAAAGGATCTGGGGTCCAAGTGGCAATCTACCCTGAAAGACCATAATTCCTAGTTAAATACACTACACCAGCGTCCACTGCGATTTGGGACCACAAGAAGGCATAGATGACTGCCAATGTCCCCTTTTCCATTGATATCTAAGGTAAAGAAAGATGGTGGCAGCCAGTCGCTGCCTACCCTTCCATCTCAATTTGAGCCTCTCTTGAATGAGCTTAACTGATGGATCATTCTGAGGGCCTGAGATCTAGGCAGCTCACTATTCAACAGGCTCAATATTGAAAAAGCCTATATACTTGAAACAGCATGCTCAGGAAAAGAACAATGCTGATAGCTTCAGCTTCTGTGCTATGGCTGTGCAGAGTTTCAAGTGGAAGCAGGTATTGGGAGAGTCATCAAGACAGCTTTTAAATATAAAGAGCTGGAGCTGATTTAATCTCTCTGCCGAATGAACTGATTTCTTTTTAAATCTTCAAGAACAGGGAAGGTTTGCACTTTGAAAAATAATTATTTTTCTCCCAATACCACCAGGATGTTTTTGAGGTCCCCAAACCAGTGTCATCAGGACATTGTTGTCATAATGATAAATTCCAGATTATCTGTGCTAGATTTCATATGAGAATGTGTCATGAGGGTCTATGGTTTAATGGTGAACCTGGGCTTCTTGTAACAAGGATCACATTCTGTTGATAATTCATGGTGTTTCCAATGCAAAGCTTGTGAACAAAGGTAAAAAAAAATACTGTATTGTGTGTACATAAAGAAGATTCAGTCTCAGTGGAAAGTAAGAAGGATTGCTCAAGTTGCAAATACATAATTAACTAAAATATTTTAAAAATGTCTTGTTTTATTTAAATGGAAAGAACATTCTTAATCTGTGGATACATTGATTTAAGTGGCTGGAGAAGTAGAAAGGAAACCAATTGCTCAATTGAATTGCTTTGCAACAGAACTATTAGGGAGAGAACATTTAGATCAGGGATGCCACAGAGATGGATTTGTAAGGTGAAAACCACTTGAAGGAGGTGTTACCTTCAGTTTTCACAAAACTTCATATTTGATATAGAAGATTTAATGAACTGCAAACCATTTTTGTGTTGCAGTCCTATGTGTTCCAAAGCACCACTTCCAAATCAAATCCTAATATGTTAATACATTATAGAAAATGAAAGGGTGATGTTGATTTCTACTTTGGACAGGGTACAAAGAAGCCAATGTGTATAGTCTCATTTACATTTTTTTATGAGAGAAGGTCTTTGGGAGAAAAATTGACTATAGTAACAAAGATGCTGATGCTTGTCGATTTGGCAGGGCTGGGTTTAGTTGCTGGCAACAAAAGTTTTCATTAAAAAAAAATTGTATGAAGCTGAAAAGGCCAGTATTCAGTTTCTTATGTAGATCAGATAATGCGTACAATACCACCACTGTATGTATTGTGAAGATTGAATTGGTGCTTGCTTGAAGCCCACAAAAATGTTGACAGCCCCTTGTTGTCCATGTTGGATGGTTGCCGTGTGTGTCCAAAGAAACTGATTTACTAATGGACTGTGTACACAATCCCTTCATTATCATGAATATTTTGGACTGCAGTTATTGAATTCAAGGGGTGATTCACCCCACTCCCACCAAGTCAAGCAATGAACTGTAGAATGCGGATGCTAGTCATATGACCTGCAAGCTTGTAACTGGGTCAACATAAGAATGATTGTGCAGGATTTAAAATGTTAGATTTGAGAATGGGCAGCAACGTATCCCTGAATGCTTAAAAGCAAGGCGAGAGCTTCTTTTATTCCATGAGAATCTGATGCTCAGAACATTTTGCCACAGGATATAAGACCCTAAGTTGGAAAGGCCCTTTGAGGTTAGCCTCTGCTTAATGCAGGATTTACAAAGTTGGATGCAATAGCAGTATCTTTGACAGATGGCTGCTCAGACTCTAGCCTCTCATGACTTCTGCAGCAACAGACTGCTCATCTTTGGAGTTTTGAAACCCTCTCCCTACAGAACATTTCCCAAACTTTAAATCAGTGGAGCTAAAAGTTAGCTCTGTTTGACTATGCTTCATAAACATTGCAATAACTGCAATCTATTATTCTTTTTTAAAAAGCTATGCTTAGTGGCAATATAGTAAACAACGGCAGATGTCTGGAATGGTTCGTTCTGTAAGGAAGAGGAATTCCTGCAACTTTAAATGGCAAGGGATTGGATAAATGTTAACATTGACATTTCATGATTGGGCAACTGGGCTCTTAACATGGTGTTGGTTGTAGAATCCAGTGCCTCCATTGCTTCCTTCTCTTCCTTCAACTAAGGGCACCTATTCACCCCTTTCCACTCTCATACAGTGATTGCCTACAATGTTGACTCACAAGGGCTCACATGTTAGGCTCACAAGGAATTTGCCTCTGGTACAGAAGCTCTCAGTATACATGCGAAGAACAGAATAATCACCATCACCATCATCATCCAAATAAGAGTGGGGAGTAAAGAAGATAATAATATATAATATACCCATACTACATGGCTAAATATACATAGATATGAGAAAGTAATGTGCGAATTACAGAAGGTGTTTAGCAGATTGATGATGCGAGGGGAAAAAAACTGTCCCTGTATCTAGTTGTTTTGACATGCAATACTCTGTAGCATCCTCCCAAGGGGAGGAGTTGAAGCAGATTATGTCCAGAATGTGAGGGATCTCAGCCCTCCTTCTGACCCACTCAATATACAATATTTTTCTTATATTACCCACATTTTGCATATGACCTTGACATCCACATCAGTTAACGTATCAGCAAAAATAGATATTTTACACCATTTCCAGAAATGTGCTTTTCAAATGGTGATTTTATTTTTTAAAGTGATGTCCATTTTTTAAATAAATTTATTGCTGTTGAGCTTACCCACTTCTTCAATTAGAACTGACTTTACGTAGGTGTTGTAAATTGGTTTAAAAGCATGCAATATACATTTCAGTAAAATAGCAGCAAGCATGATTTATATAAAAAATAATATGTGGCAGAATTCAGCTCTGGAGATCTAATCCTTTTAACAAGCACTGAGCGTAAGTCAACATTTGTTACTAGTAATGACAAATACCACTCCAGACTACAAGACTGGTGAAAGAGCCATGATTTGATGGATTTTGTGAAAGTCGGGAGCTATTTGGATATCTGGCAGAATATTATTTTACATATGGGAAACAACTACTGAGAAAAATTGCCTCTGGGATAGCAGTGAAGATGGCAGCCCATGAGTGAAAAGACAGAGCAAGCCATTTTGGGCATCCTTCATGTTGTTTCACAGAGTGTCAGAGCACTACAAAAGACTAACTTTGTTGAGGGCTTTGGCTTGTCTTCCATGTTTTAATAAATAGGGCATGTAAGTGACTATATTGTAATGGCCAATTCTCTTTCTGCTTACAGAGCGGGCATATGCCTGCAGTCCGTATATGGGATGTTGCTGAGCGGACCCAGATGGCTGAACTTCAAGAGCATAAGTATGGAGTGGCATGCGTGGCCTTCTCACCAAGCTCCAAGTACATTGTCTCAGTGGGTTACCAGCATGACATGATAGTCAATGTTTGGTCATGGAAGGTAAATGACAGCAAGATTTTTTGTAGCTATTATGTGAGCGTAAGTGAACTTGCAACTAGAAGTTGCATTATAATATGCCTTCAGAACACTAACCCTGTTTCCTCACAGATAGTCTACTCTGAGTTTCTGTCTCCCAGTTTGAGTTTGTTCTTGCTGTATATAAGAAGGATACAGAGCCTGAACCCCAAGGATTGCATGAATTATTGAAGATAGATAGCACGTGGACCAGAGCCCTTCCTAAATTTGCAATCAAATGAAAGAATGTAATTTAAAAATTGGAGTGCAACCATTCTGATTATTTTTCATTATTTTAATTGAATTTAAAAGTCAATGATATGCAATTTCATCATGCCTGTAGGCCCTGACTCCTTTTGGGAATACAGGGTTCAGCTCAAAAACTAGTGCTCACTACACAGAAGATGTCTGTTAAAGCAGTGAACAATAACTGAAATGAAAGTTTGTATTAGGGGTATATGCTATATTTCCATGAGACTGAAATAATGTTTATTTAATGATACCCTTCTAGCCTTAAAAATGCACAGAGAAATATTTCATTACTTTGGTTATTAGTATGTAGAATAAACATTGTTGAAATGGCATAGCAGCCTAACTAGGAAGATTTCCTCCCCACTTCCACCTCTTGGTTTGTGTTAAAGTTCACATAATGAAAGATCACAGCAGGCTGTTTCGTCTCCTTTTCATTAGATAGCTAGATAGGAAACTGCCTAATGTTGGGTCAGGCCCCTTTGACATCTCATTCTGTCCTGGTCTGCAATGATGGATACTGATTTTGAGCTGAAGATTCCAGAGGCCTTCTGTATGTTTGGCACCACTGCCCATTTCTTTTCAGGTTGACTGGGTCCACACATTGTACTAACCATGGTTTATTTTAAGCATTTTTAATTGTGTTAACTTTATTTGGTTGGGTCCACAGAACAAGCTAAGACAAAAAAAAACAAAACTCATCTTACGGCTCTGTCTGATATTTCGTATGTTTTCGATATTCACTCTCAATGCAAAAAGCTATTAGAGGTTTTCTTTTAAATAACTGATAATATGTTCTGAGTTTTATTTGGTTTCTCCTCTAAAAATAAGTGGTGCATAAGTACGTGTCTCTTCAAGGAGCAAAGATTTGGGTATTTTTTTTCTTTAAGGCCTCTTCAAAACATTGGATTATTCTTTGTATTGACCAGAAACAAAGCCTTCAGTGATTGATATGTTGATAGTAAAAGTGGCCTCCTCAGAGAAATAGTTAGTTTGATTAGGAGTAAATTGTGTCCTTAATTTATTTCCTGATATAACTGAAATGTGTTCAATTTATCTGATTATATATGAGAAATTAGAACCATAAATGAGGTTATCACAAAGGACTAAAATGGCAATGAGTTTTATATGCCAAATTAATGCTGGGCATTTTTTGTTGTTGAAGTTAAGTGTAGTAAGCTGTCATTGTTACATCTGGATTTGTTCATTCTTGTATAATCTTCTGTTCGGCAAGCTGTGCTGTTAGTCATAAATTGTTTCGCTGCTTTTTATTTCTGCATGTTTGTTAAGTGGTATCAAAAGACTTTTTTCTGACCTGAGTGAGTCAGGGGTAAAACCAGTTCTGGGTTTCTGATGTTAGAATGCAACTCCTAGTATATATCTATGTAAAAGATTTTTCTTTCTTTTGGGGTGGCAGGAGACTATGTGGAGTCATGTTATCTTATCTCTGCAGAATTCAAAGTTACTATCAATGCAGGTGCCTAAACCAATGGGAGACCAAGATTCCTGCTTTTGCTCATAGCTCCTTGGATCATTGGGAGTTTGCACAAATTAACTCACCATTGGGAATCCCCATGGAGCTCTTGTGTCCTAACTCATGTGATCATGAGGGAGGTAGTTGCAGGCCTTTTTCTGTCCATGAAGATTTTCCCTGTTCTTGCATCAGCCTTTGCTCTGTTCTGATTCTGTGAACTATCCCTTTTTATTTACATGTTGTTACATGCCAACGGTAGCAATAATCCTAGCCCAATACTGCAACTTTCTTCTAAATGTTTGTCCAGAAGATGTCTGTCCTTGTAACAGAATACAAATGTGTCCATTTGTCCCATACATAAAATTGAGCATAAAGTCTTTAAAACTAAAACAAGTGAGACTATGCTAAATGTTAAGTTAAAAAAAAAAAGAATACTGCAAATGAGCTGATAGTGTGCCCTGAATAATACAGAATTAATTTTTATCACTTGATCTGTGGGAGGCTGTAGCATTTTCATGTATATGCTCTGGGAGGTATTGTTGTGTATTCCCAGAGATCCTATGCATAAATCAGACAAATGGATTTAATTAGAAGAACATCTGACTTGCTCAACTGTCTTCTTTGCAGAAAAACATCGTTGTGGCAGCAAATAAAGTCTCAAGCAAAGTGACAGCAGTTTCATTCTCTGAGGATTGCAGCTATTTTGTTACAGCTGGAAACCGTCACATCAAATTTTGGTACCTGGCCGATAGCAAAACCTCTAAGGTAAAGGACGTTGTTGAGGCTGTTGAAAAAAAGGGGAAGATATTTATGACCAAGAGAATTATGTCAGATTTATGAGTATTTCTGCAAAGTATTAATCATCAAACCATTCCTGACGTGTTGTTTTTTTCATGCCAGGTGAATGCTACCGTCCCCTTGCTTGGGCGTTCTGGTTTGCTCGGAGAACTGAGGAACAATTTTTTTACAGATGTGGCATGCGGCAGGGGTAAAAAAGCGGACAGCACTTTTTGTATCACTTCTTCTGGTCTGCTGTGTGAATTCAACGACAAGAGGCTACTGGACAAGTGGGTGGAATTGAGGGTAAGTAGCCTGTGGCACTTGGATATCTGTTCATATTAGAGGTGAGAAGATCTTTCAGTTCAACCAGTTATCCTAGTGCAGGGTTTTGAAAACATAGGGCACAGAAATGGATGTCTGGCTGGGATGATGCCTGGTGCCTTCGGTATGAAAAAAAAAAAGAGATCTAAATTAAGTAGCTACCCTGTTTCTCCAACAATACGGCCTCCCCTAATAGGAAGTCCCAGCATGTTTTATAGGCATGAAATGAAATTAAGCCCCTCCCTCCAAATTAAGGCCTATATTAAAACATGCGAAATGGGGGAAATGGTGGGGCGGGGGGCTTGCCGTTAGGAAGTACTTTTGTTGCACACCCGGATATGGTGCTGCCTGCATTGACCCCGATACGAAGTGCCCCACCAATGCCGAGGTCAACATCCAAGCCATCGCCACCCACCCGAAGATGCAAGGGGGGGGGAATTAAGTCACCCCCGAAAAGACGGCCTAGCCATTTTTTCGGGGCTCAAAAAAAAATAAGACCCGGCCTTATTATATGAGAAACACAGTAGGTATGAGCCATATAATGTACTGCGCGGGTGCCAGTAGTCCTCGACTTACAGCAGTTCATTTAGTGACCATTCAAAGTTATGACATCACTGAAAAAAGTGTCTTGTGACCATTTTCACACTTATGACCGCTGCAGCATCCCCGTGATCATATGATCAAAATTCAGGTGCTTGGTAACTGGTTCATACTTATGACCATTGCTGTGTCCCAAGGTCATGCGATCACCTTTTACGACCTTCTGACCACCAGAGTCAATGGGCAAGCCAGATTCACTTAGTAACTGTGCTTACTAACTTAACAGCAGTGATTAATTTCACAACTGTTGTAAAAAAAGGTCATAAAATGAGGCAAACTTCACTTAAATGTCTCACTAAACAACATAAATTGTGGTCGTAAATTGAAGATTACCTGCATAAGAATGGCAATTCTTCTCTCCAAGGGGTTTCTCCTAACTAGTTTGGGGTATTAGAAGTGTATTTCATTAGGAGAAATCACTGAGGGGAAACAGATGTTCTCTAGAAAAGTTCACCACCTTTTTTATACTTGTGCTTTTAAATTGTATCCTTATTCTCTGCTTGATATATTTTAGCTGCCGCTTCCTGTAGTTTTGTAAATCTTGCAGAGTTTAATTCAGGCCAAAAATAGTCTCAAAACTGCTGGCGAAAATGGCTGCTCCTTCATTAGCAAACAACTAATTTTACAGCCCATTCCTAACATAAGCACAAATTGTTTTAGACCTGTTCAGTTGTGCTTGTATCCATTCAGCCAGGCACTAGTATTCTGCTTCAGTTGCATAACCCAGATGGGAAAAAAGTGATTGGTTGAAGCCCACCTGAGTAGGAGAACTTCCGTGCAAATTGTCTATGGAGATTCTCAGTCATCCAGGCCATGGTTGTCCCAACGGTGCTTTTTCCAAGAGACAACTGGACTTTCTGATTTTTCTTTCAAGACGTCTAGCTTCTCATCCAAGAAGCTTCTTCAGCGCTAACTGGATGGTGGGGAACCCACTGAAAGAATACAAATGACCAGCTGTCTACAAGGACTATAAATCCTTCCATTCCCCACCATCCAGTCAGAGCTGAAGAAGCTTCTTGGATGAGAAGCGCAACGTCTTCAAAGAAGAACCAAGAAGTCCAGTTGCGTCTTGGAAAAGCACCGTTGGGACAACCATGGCCTGGATGACTGAGAATCTCCATAGACAATTTACATGGAAGTTTTCCTACTCAGGTGGGCTTCAACCACCTTTGGGACTTCCGGTTTGAAGGGCTTCGGCAACAGACAGAAATCCGTGATCGTGTGCAGTTTCTGTCTGGGCTCGCCGCTGGAGCGCCCCGAGCCAGCTGGTTTCAGGGCTAAGCCACCCTGTAGAGGTGGTGAAGAGGGGGGAGACCGCCAGCAGGGTAGAGGAGAGCCACATCTCTCCTCCTCAGCTGGCCATTACTCCCTTTCCCAAAGGCGGTTGCAGCAGTGGTCAGAAATGGCCACCACAAAGAAGAATTCGACCAGAAAAGAATGTGCAGGAGGAAGATAAGAAGTGAAAGTTTTGGCTGACCTGGTTAAATTGTAAAAGCAACAACCAAGGTACCCTGGAATTTAAACTTACAAAAAATAACATCGCTCCCAAAGAAGAGTCGGAAGCAGCGAAGGAAAGTGAAAAGGGAAAGGTTTGGCTTTTTTTTCGTTCTCTCTCCTTCCCTATACTGAAAACTAAGAGACTTAAATAAGAAATTGGAAAAATCCGCTTTGACATCAATAGGCAATTAAGCTGAAAATAAAACAAAATGCCAAAGGGATAATAAAGATTTCTGGACATTAAAAACTTTCTTTTTCATAAGCAGAAAGGGAGAGAAAAAGAATAAGGGCAGGATCTGGAAGAGGGAGGAGACTGCCTGGAATTAAAAAGAATCTAAAGTAATACTTCAACAAGATTTCTAAAAGATACATTTTAACTGAAACTTTGCAACTAAATAGTATCCCCAGGAAGAGAAAGTGAAAAAAAAAGAGCAAAAAAGAAACAGCTTGCGTGTATTTGGATTATTTGGTGATCTTTGGATTTTTGGTTATTATATTTGAATGACTAAAATCAATCGGGTGGTTGTTTAAAAATTTATACCATGGCACCACTTCTGGATAAATTGAAAATGGAACTTAAAAAGTACAAAGAAGATGCACAAGAAGGGAAGGGTTCTTTTGGCTTCATTTTTCAATTCTTAGAAATGGAGATTTGGAACTATGAGAAACAACAAGAAACGTCTGCAAAACAAGAAGACTGGGACAAAGAAGAAACCATCTTCAATGAACAAGTAATTCTATGTGGGGAAGAAAAAGGAAAGGGGAGAAAGAGAATGGAGAATTTAAGACTTAAAAAAACAACCAAAGAAAAGAAAAATAATTCAAAAAATAAGTATAATACTGGAAAGCAACAGAAAAGGGGAATACAGAAGAGAGAAATAGAGGTAGAGAGACAAGGAGGTAAAAAGGGGAGAGAGAAGAAGAGAGGGAAGAAGGAAAGGAAAAGAAGTTACAAAGGACCGGAGCAAGATATAGAGAAACAGGACCTATTTAGAGATAATGGGTGAAAATCTAACTGAAAAAGGGATTCTGTAAAGGTACATAAGATTGTATTGTTATATTAGTAATAGAAATAACTTTAGAAAATTGGAAACAACATATGATTAAAATGAGGGATAAAATAGTGTAATTTAGTGAAATGTTTGTGAATAAAATAAGTGAAATAAAATAAATGAGAAAATTGAATTAGGAAGGAACGAGAACATTTTAATTAGTTAATGTTTTATAAAATATAAGTGAGGGGGGGGAATTAACTATGGAAAGCTTATAATTGTTCCCATAGAAGTATGATATTGAATTGAAAAGTAATGTTAAAGATGTTAAGACTTTAATGAATATTAATATTAATGATAGAATTGAATTGGAATGGAATGTTGTTTTAATTATATACATTTATATATATATATTTTTTAAGAATACAGTATGTATTTTAAGAATGTACCAAGCAGAATCCGAATGGAAGTTATGTATTATATTGAATGTTACAACTTTAAGGAAAAGATATAAAGGCGTCATACTCCAATCAGTAACTACAGGAGAAATTTTGTTTAATGAGAAAAGATAATAGATAATTCAAACAGGACAGACAAAAAATATAAATACAAAGATTTGAATTGAGATGAGATAATTAAAATAAAATTGAGAAAATTAAAAGAGGGGAGAAGCTATGCAGAAAATGTAAAATAGTAATAAGATATGGAATAGAATATAAAAATGAGCATGAATTTAAATTTGTGTCTGTACGAAGAAATGTAACCCGGGATTATGCTGCTTTCAAAAAAGATATTTTATTTGTATTTTTTTCTCTTTGTGAAAACTCAAATAAAATTTTCAAAAAAAAAAAAAAGCACCTTTGGGACTTTCATGTAAATTGATTTTCCCTAGACCTAAATATTTCCTAGATCTGTGTTTCGATTTCCCAGTGTCTGTAGATCCTGAATGATGTGTTGATGTTGAAAGACATTGTGAAAATCTTTTTCTCCTCATGAAATGGTAAATGCAAAGATTTAGGGCTTTTCTTCTTCTTTTTTTTAAATAAAGGAACCCAGCTCCTAAGCCCTTGCTCACTCTTCAAACTGAATGCTCTCTCACTTTCTCTCTTTTCCTTCTTTTTCCTTTTGGCACTGAAAACACCCTTCTCTCTTTTATTTAGAACACAGACAGCTTCACAGTAAGTTCTAATGTCTCTTGTTTCCAACACGCCACTGTTCTAGCATCCCTCCCATTTGTCATTTTTTTCCCCCCTTTTTGCAATTGTGCTCATTGCAGTAGAATTTAAAAACTGGAATGAGATTGAGTCTTCATCGGGGATTATGTCTATTTCTTCTGTTGCTTAACGTAGTGTTAATTCCCATTCCTAATACAAGGGAAATCTTTTTCAGTGAAATATTCAAATCCCTATGTGCTGGTGTTGTTGTTGAATGCTGTTGTCCTGGACATTCGGCCATGCTCATTCCATTTCAATTTTTTTTTCTAGTCACTATTCTTTCCTCAATGAGCATGCTCAGTGTCCATTGATCAAATTGCTGAGTTTCTAGGAGGTGGCTGTTATTTCACCCTGGCGTAGTGCTGATATAAGTTTGGGATAGATAACGAGTGGCACAGATTGCCTGTGGAATTCTAGGAGTTGAAATCCACACATCTTAAAGTTGCCAAGGTTGAGAAACACTAGTCTAATTATTGAAAATAGGAGCTTATAATAATAGTTTTCCTACAACAGGGCTGTCAAACTCCCGGCCCACAGGCCCGATGCGCCACACACTGCCCATGCCCACACTTGGTTTAGTAAAGGGGGGGAAAGCCCCGATACATCATATGATGCCACCATGATGACGTGAGTTTGACACCCCTGCCCTACAGAAACAGTTATGTAGGATGTCTTTTCTGAAGAATGCCTCCAGTTTAGTTTTTTCCCCTTATGTTTAGTGATTCCATCTCATCTTGCTTCAGTTTCCCCGCCCCCTTTCTTTCTCGACTACTATTTTCTTTCATGCTTTGTTGTGTTATATAGTGGCTCATGCTGATGTCTTTATGTCCCCAGACTACTGTGGCAAACTGCATCTCCGTGAACCACGATTACATCTTCTGTGGCTGTGCTGATGGTACTGTTCGGATTTTTAATCCTTCAAATCTTCACTTTGTGACCACGCTCCCTAAACCACACTTCCTAGGGATGGATATCGCCAGCATTACAGAAGCCAGGTAGGAAAAGTAAAGATCCAGAAGCAACTTGTGCCAGACTTTAGCTTCGCTCTCCATCTTGCATTTGCAAGTACATTTGCAAGCCTCCCCAGTTACTCTGGGGTAAGAGGGGAAGCCAATACATAGAATAGAATAGAATAGAATAGAATAGAATAGAATAGAATAGAATGGAATGGAATGGAATGGAATGGAATGGAATAGAATAGAATAGAATAGAATAGAATAGAATAGAATAGAATAGAATAGAATAGAATAGAATAGAATAGAATAGAATAGAATTCAGTTCTTTATTGACCAAGTGTGATTGGATACACAAGGAATTTGTCTTCGGTGCAAATGCTCTCAGTGTACATAAAAGAAAAGATACATTCGTCAAGAGTCAAGAATCGTACGGTACAACACTTAGTAATGAGTCATAGGGTACAATAAGCAATCAAATCATATTACATTTTACAAATAAATAGATAAATAAAAATATTCAGTGAGCAAAAGGGAAAAACTTTGCTTATGAAAGGGGAACTTTCACCTGTACTAAACTGCAACTTCTGTCACCCCAGGCAATGCATGGCATCATGTTTGAGGAGACTGGCAGAAATGGTTCTGGGATACAGTCTGCCAAGGTGTAAAGCAGTGTCATGCATTAGAACATGTAAATTGCTTTGTAATTTTCTGGCTGAGAAATATGTTCTAACTCTTTACTCTATTTCCTTTGGCTGTTTTGCATTTTTGTAATGTTTATTGTTGTTTATTCTTTCCTTCCTAATCCAATATCTAAGGCAAAGTAGTAGAATGTTTTTCTATATTGGTCTCACCTTTACTTTCAGATGGTCCCTTTTGAGATGTCCTCTTCTCCACACTGTATCTCTGGAGGCTTGTCTGTCTCCTGATGATGACATGGGTAGTGCTTATTCTGGTGTTGCTGGTGCTTCATGTAGTATAGCTAGCATTAAATATGGTGAAATCCTTGGGGTAACACTGACTGGCCAGTTTTCCTCCCATCTCAAGAATATCTTGAAGTACAGGTAGTTCACAGCTTACAACAGTTCATTTAGTGACGATTAGAAGTTACAATGGCACTGAAAAAAGTGACTTATAACCATTTTTCACCCTTACGACCATTGTGGCATCCTTATGGTCACATGATCAAAATTCAGAGGCTTGGCAATTGACTCAAATCTGAGATGGTCATGTGATCATCTTTTGTGACCTTCTGACAAACAAAATCAATGGGGAAGCCAGAGTTGTGTCACTAACTGAATAACTGCCGTGATTCACTTAAGAACTGTGGCAAGAAAAGTTATAAAAAGGGGCAAAACTCAATAACTGTCTCACTTAACAACAGAAATGTTGGGCTCAACTGTGTTTAAGGTGAGGACTACTTGTAATGGTCCTGGTATATTTCTAAAGTCCCCAGAAATTAAGATCTGCCAGAGAAGACCCTTCTCTTTCTTTAGCTGAGGGAGAGCCTGAGGTAATTTCTTGTGTATATGTGACATAGAGCATCACTCAGCCAAGAAGATGTAGACTGAGCCTATCAGGGTCAGCAAGCTGAAGTCTATGAATGTTTTGAGCCAGCAGCCTGCATTATTCACAACATCTTCTCTGAGAAAAACAAGACTGATATTTGAATTAACATATATAAAGCTGACTTAGTGGCTGTCTGCATGTGTTTTAACGAAACACATATCTTTCTGAGAAAAAAATGTTTTGATATAAAGGCAGACTTCAAATATCTCATCTAGCTTGTTTTTCCCTTCCCATCTTTCTGGCCCACAAGATCTATTAATGCTTTGTAAGCTTTAAGCAACTATTATTGGCAGAATTTTAGAATGCACTGCCATGGTAAACTAACAGAGAGAAATAGAAATAAGTAAAAATGTACAAAGCATCTATGCTCTTGGAACATCCTCCTGAGCTTTCAGTACATTGACTCCTGGCCTCGGATTTTTATTAGTGACTTGGAAAGGCCAAGGTACTGTGTAGCTTAAAATATGATCTGCCAGTTTAGTTTTAGAAGCTGTAAACTTGGAAAGCTACGCACGTGCACACTGTTGTTCCTTAGCTCATTTATAGTAAGCTCCCTTTGGACTGCAGTTTTGCCTTGCATTGCCAGATTTTTATGACAGACTGAACGAACAATTAATGAGAGCTGCATCTTAAAATTGGAAGGATTTGAATATGTGGAATTGCTCACAGAGCTTAGAGTCATTTCATACCCTTTCAAAAAACAAAACCCTCCTGTTATTGGATTAAAAAAACTTGTATTTTAAAAACCTGTTTTTTTAAAAAATCTGACAATTTCAGGCTTGTAATTTCTTGCCAAGCACCCAAAAGCACATGGTTCTAATTTATGGAGTTTAGAGACTGATCAAAATGTGTAGGTGTATGCATATTTCCTGTGTTGGATTAGGAGAGCACATCTTTCTCCTTCTGTCTTGACCACTTTTTACAGAGGCACAATTGAGAGTGTTTTAACAAACTGCATCACTGTTTGGTTTGGTGTCAGCAGTGCCTCAGATTGAAAGTCCATGCAGAGAGAGGTAAGGACAGCCGAGAAGATTATCGCTTCCTGTTATTCAGGATACTGCTTATAAGCGCTATGTGCTTAGAGCTCAAAGCATTGTTAGAGACCCCACACACCCACTGTATGGTCTGTTTCTGTTGCTCCCCTCTGGGATGAGGTTTCAAAGTATTTCTATCAGGATCACCAGATTCTGTAACAGTTTTGTTCTCTATGCCATCGGTCTGGTAAACTTGCAACATTCGTTTTTCTCACCATGTACATGTAAACATCCGAACTAGACTGTGTTATTTCTCTGTGTCATATATGTGAGTATACGCATAATTTTGTATTTATTTATTTTGTCATGTTTATATAGTGTATATTGCAGTATATTGGTAACCCTTTGAGAGCTGTATTCAATGAAATTTCATTTTAATGTATGCCAATTAGTGTACGTTTAAAGTGACAATAAAGTTATTCTAAGTCATATTTTCCCCTGGAGTTTAAAAGAAATTGAAATTCACCGTTGTCATGATAACCAATTTATGCATTCAATTCTTTGTGCCAAGATTGCCTGGGTGTTTACCTAAGAGTTCACATTTTATTAAATACTTGACTCTCAATATAGTACTATTATTATTCAAGCATTTTTAAAAAATGAGATTAACTGTGAGAATGGAACTATAATTTTGTCTGGGGGACCAACAGTATCCGAAAAGGCTCTCATCCCATTCTCATGACTACCATCTACAGAAGGTAGGAATGCAAAAAAAGAAAAAAAAAAGAAAACCACACTGCACATCAGTTTTCTTTGGGGGAGTAAGCTAAACTGACAATGGTCCAGAATGAAATAGACCAAGTCCATATGGCCCTAAAAGCCACAGTTGCTCAGTCTTACTTGGGTTAAGCCAAAACCTATTTTCTCCATCCTCACAGCTTTCATGGCCTCACAGCCTCCAGACCATGGGAAAAGAAACTTGAAGTGGTCAGCCTGGTGTATGTGGGTTGGTCTATGTGTGTGGCTGTGTGCGTTTGTGTAATTGAGTATTATTGGTATACTTACGATACTTAATCCCACACAGATGGCATACCTCACCCAACTGCTTAATGTAGCTATTAAACAGGATGTAGAGCTCTGAGGAACTTTGCAGAACGGGTCCAGGTGCAAATCTCCCTCCCCTACTAACACCAACCGGAGGAAGGAGGAGAAACTCTGCAACACTGTTCCTCACCCTCTGTCCAAAGCCGATCTCAACAGATACTATGATTGATGGCCCTGAAAGCTGCTGAGAGGACTAGGATGAATGACCATTCCTATCCTGATCCTTCTAAAGGTCATCTATAAGTGCAATCAGCGCCACCTCAGTATTACATCTGGTCTGAAACTCAACAGTAGTAAGGATTAAAGCCCCAATATTACTGCAATCGGGTAGGATAATGCCGTATGAAACCAAATCTGTTCAGTCTGAGATCTGATTACAATTTAAGCTATTATGGTCTGACTGAAGGAAAGAGATTAGATCTGCTGGTTCTGGGGGCAGTTAAGTCATGCATTCGTGTGGCCATAAGCCAACCCCACATACTCACAGTCCATTTGAAATACGAGGATAACAATGCTGACTGAAGTTACAGGATTGTTGCACAATTACAATGGCATGATGTATGTGCAGCATTTGGAATAGTAGAAATGACTAACAGCATACAAATATGTAACCGTAAAAAATACCGGTAGAACAGGCAAATTTCTGTCTGTCTCCTTTTAGCAAACCTGCTGTCTTTTGATATACCTTCATATATCAACTGTTTAAAAATTATCCATTGTATTATCTTTTTGCAGTCGGCTTTTCTCTAATGTGACTGATGCCAAGTATCCAGATACCATTGCCTTAACCTTTGATCCGAACAACCAGTGGCTGTCTTGTGTTTACAATGATCACAGCTTGTATGTGTGGGATGTCAAAGACCCCAAGAAAGTGGGCAAGGTTTATTCTGCATTATACCACTCCTCCTGTGTCTGGAATATTGAGGTAATGTTAAGTCGCAAATATTGATACAGATGCAATAACAGTCACCAATAGTATTATTTCTGATTTCCAACAAAATGAAAGTATTTCAGAATTCAGAAGGCACTTCCCATTATGGCAAGAATTCCAGTGTGATTTTTCTTTTTATAACTAATTTTTTCGGTATTATTTAGGTTATATTTTTCATGCACACTAATGATTAGGAATGAATTAATGGAAGGGAAAAGACAAGGAGAAAATCTATATTTCTTTAGCCACGTAACTGAACATTAGACAATAATATAAAGCAAGTGTTTTAAATGAAAATCTAGATCTGGGTAATAAGAAATGGAGGTTTTTCTGGCTCCTTGTCTCCAGTAATGGTCTATGTGGCTGCAGATAGACACATTCTGTTGATTTTCCATTATAAAAATATATTAAAACCTTGGCTTACTGTCCTAGTTCCTCATTTGCTTAGTGTTCTTCCAAAATCTGGTTAAAATTAAGGTACTTTACTACATGCATGTCCTGAGCATCTTTCCATATTCTCTTGATTAATCCTCTTTGGAATTAGAATAAAGGTTAAATTTGCACCTTCTTTCTTATCACAATTATGGCAGTAGCCAAGTGCTGCTCCCTGCTGGCTGCGATGTGTAAGAATGCTTAAAGCATAATGAAGTATATGGTGGTTTTATCTGCATCAGAAAATAATCTTTGGGATCCCTTTCCTATAGAAAGCTCAAATTGCCACAGTATCCCAATCACGTCATTCTGTGAAGCTTGAATCTGGTACTATAAACAGACTTGGTAAAACCAATCTACATAGACTTCTGTAAAGCCTTTGATTCAGTGGTACACAACAAACTACCCCTAAAATTAAAATCTTACAGTATCTCTGGACACCTGCATAACTGGATAGAAGCATTCCTGTCAAACAGACAACAAATGGTCAAAATTGGGAGCATCCTATCAAATTCTGTACCCGTCAACAGTAGTGTCCCCCAAGGCAGTGTTTTAGGACCAACTCTCTTCATACTCTACATAAATGACCTCTGTGATCATATTAAGAGCAACTGTGTCCTCTTCACTGACGATGTAAAGCTATTCAACACCACAGACAATACTGCTACCCTTCAAAAAGACCTTGACTATGTATCAGAATGGTCAAACAAATGGCAACTTCAAATCTCAACAAATAAATGCTCTGTCTTACATATTGGCAAAAAAAATCAGAAAATAAAATACAGGCTGAAGACCTTGTTGATGATCCAAACTCTGCCAAGGATCTTGGAGTACTCATCTCAAATGACCTAAGTGCTAGAGCCCACTGTAACTACATAGCCAAAAAGGTGTTAAGAGTTGTTAACCTAATCTTACATAGCTTTTTCTCTGGTAATATTACACTAATAACTAGAGCATACAAAAGATTTGCTAGACCAATACTCGAATACAGCTCATCAGTCTGGAACCCACATTATGTATATGATATTAACACAGTTGAGAAAGTTCAGAAATATTTCACAAGAAGAGTTCTCCACTCCTCTACTCGTTGTAGAATACCTTATGCCACCAGACTCGAAATTCTAGACCTAGAAAACCTAGAATTACACGGCCTTCAGTCCAATCTAAATATATTATATAAAATCATACATTGCAATGTCCTACCTGCCAATGAATACTTCAGCTTCAACCATAACAATACAAGAGCAAACAATAGATACAAACTCAAGGTTAATTGCACCAAACTTGTTTGCAGGAAATACGACTTCAGCAACAGAGTGGTCAATGTCTGGAATACTTTACCTGACTGTGTTTTTTTCCCCAAACCCCAAAAACTTTAACCTTAGACTGTCTACTATTGACCTCACCCCTTTCCTAAGAGGTTTGTAGGGGGCGTGCATAAGCGCACCAACGTACCTACCGTCCCTGTCCAATTGGGTTTTTTTTATTTTTCTTATATGTAGCCATTTCATGTATTCATAAATAAATAAAATAAATAAATAAATAAAACCAAGCTTCAAAGATTAACAAAACAGGATTTGTATACCCTGATCATTTGGCAGAGCAGAATATTTCCATAGAAATTGCAAGAATAAGGAGTTTTACCTCTCTCTTAAACCTCTCTTATACCTCTTGGGTTCAGTCCTTCTTTGACAGTTAAACTCACCACCCCAGTTTTGGAGAATATAGAGAATGTTCCTAATTCTGTTAAAATTTCTCTCCCCCTAGGTGTATCCTGAGGTAAAGGATAGCAATCAGTCTTGCTTGCCCCCAAACACCTTCATCACTTGCTCCTCGGATAACACCATTCGCCTGTGGAACACAGAGAGCTCAAACATCCACGGGGCCTCCTTGCATCGAAACATCCTGAGCAATGTAAGGCTGAGTTCAGGATGGGTCCCAGGGCTTAATCTCTGACTTCAAGATGAAGTGGAGAAGTCCATTGCATGTAGAATATTTATTTATTTATTTGGAAAATTTTGAGATGGACTCCGGGTGGCTTACATTTTATTTATTTTACACATTTTCTTGTCGATGCAGGGTTTTGTTTTGTTTTTGCTTATATCAGTAACTAAGATAAAGCTCATCTATGAAAGCTACCCTGGAATATTGCTATTTCAGTCTCCCAGAGTGGGCTATGTGTATTGTGTGTGTGTGTGTATCCTTCCATCCATCCATTCATTTTTGAAATGAATAATGCGTGAATACTTAATTAAGTGGTTCTCTACAACTATATATGTATGCTGTTGATCTCTTGTGAGTATAGCATTAAAATAATATATGTGTACAAATCAGTGGGCTAAGTATGAAATGGCGTAATGGTTGTATAAGTGTCCCAAAATGGTTTAGGCATTCTGGTATATTATTTTCTAGAAAAGCATCAAACAAGGTTGGAAATGAATTTGTAACATTATTGTAAATAACCTTATCCCAGAACTGATTTGAATGGATGCTATTTTCTTCTTATTCTCTATCTCCAGTTTTAATGCATTCAACTGTGTAGAACCATATGGTGGAAAAAATGGCCTTGAAACTACTTTGTTATTAAGGCTATGGGATTTACAGCACCCACCCCCCGCCCCCCATTTTTTATTTCCACTGTATATTACAGGGCAGAGGTGGTATTCAGCAGGTTCTGACCGGTTCTGGAGAACCTGTAGCAGAAATTTTAAGTCGTTCGGAGAACCAGCAATACCCCCTCTGACTGGAGATTTTACAGTATCCTTCCCCTGCCACGCCCACCAGGCCATGTCGACCAGTAGTAGAAAAAAATTGAATCCCACCTCTGTTACAGGGCCTTGTACAGAAACTCTCTGAAGTTATATTCTTGCATTACTGCCCTGTATCACCATCCATGTACATTTTTAGCCTTATAGCATTTTTTAGTTGTATCTAGTTTGATTATATTCAACCACAATATAATATTATTTTCAAACTCTCTGATTCACATGTCTCAGTGAAGCTTGCTAGAAAGATTGGGATTTTTTTTTGCTTTGCCATTGTGCTGTGTATTTCCAATTGGTCTCTTTTATTGCTGATATTAGGAGAAATATTAGCATTCAATGCTGCTTTGATTTTGTGCCTCCGTTTGCTTTCATCTGCTTGCTTCAAATGGACTCTTTTGTTTTGTCTCATTAGGATTTGATGAAAATCATCTATGTAGATGAAAACACTCAGGCCCTCTTGGACACAGAATACAATACAGCTGGAGGTGTAGAGAAGGCTGACACACAGGCCATAGATACCAAAGTGGGGATTCGCACAGTGTGTGTGAGTCCTACTGGGGAGCACCTGGCCTCAGGTGATAGGATAGGCACTCTCAGGTAAACCTTGGCGTGTTTTTTTTGTAACAAATTTTATTAATTTTCAAAGAGAATACACAGACAAACAAAACATAAAACATAAGAACATAGAACATCTTTTCTAAAAACTGCTTAACAAAACAAATAAGACATCTCATTTAAGTACAACATAGTTCTAAATTATCACGTTTCCACACACAATTTAATATGCATCTTATATATTCAATTTCATATCTTATTACTCTTTTCCAACTTCTCACTGTTTCTTCCTTTATTTCTGTTCAATTTTATTCATTAAACTTATACTTTCATGTATTTCATATTACTATATTTCATATTATTACTATTTCATATGTTCTTATCCAACATCATTAATCCTCAATAAACAAACATAAGCTAACAAAATACATAACATAAAACTTCTTTTTAGAAAGCGGCTTAACCCCGGGTTATAACTTTTTGTACAGACATAAATCAAATTCATGCTCACCGTATATACTATTTAATATCTTATTTAACATTCTATATTTTCCAAATGTCTTCTCCCCTCTTTTCACTCTCTTAATTCTATTTTATTTATTTAATCTCAATTTAAATCATTATACTTGTATCTTTTGTCCGTTCTTTTTCAATTATCCATTTATCTTTCTCTTTAACACAAACTTTTTCCTGTAATCACTGGTTGAAGTATGACACCTTTCTATTTTCTCCCCAAATTTAACACTTAAAATAATACATAGTTTCTATTCTGATTCTGCTTAGTACATTCTACATAACATTTTAAAATATAAAACATAATGGTCTTATAGTATATTAAAAATAATGTTCCATTACAAATTGGTTAATTAAACTCATTACACATTAATTGCACATTCCCTACAATATTCTATTAACACATATTTCAAATACAAATACTACAATACAATCTTCTGTACTTTTGCAGAATCTCTTTTTAGATTATGTTTTACCCTTTATCTCTGAAAAAAACCTGTTTATTAGCATCTTGTTTTAAGCCTTTATAACTTCCCTTTCCTTTTCCCTTCCTTCCTTGTCAAATCTAACCTTTTTACCCCCCCCCTCTCAATCTCTAGCCTTTTAGTCTCCCCTCTCTGTTGTATTCCTCTTTTCTGTTGCTTTCTGACATTATATCGATTTTTCACCTTATTTTTCCCTTTCTTGGTTGTTTTTTTAGAACTTAAATTCTTCATTTTCTTCTCCTTTTTACCCTTTTCTTTCTCATTTAAAATCATATGTCCATTAAAGATGGCTTCTTCTTCATCATTCCAGCCTTTTTCTTGTTGCATTTCCTGATAAGTAGAAATCACCATTACTAAAAAGCAAAGGATAGATCCAAAGGAACCCTTGCCTTCTTCTTCCTCTTCTCTTAATTTTTCAAATTGCATTTTCAGTTCTTCAACAGATACCATTGTGAAATTTTTTTTAAACAATCCAAATGTTTTCTTGGTCTTTCAAAAGATAGTTAAAGTCCCAAAGTCATCAAGCAATCAAAGTCAGCACAATCAGCACAGTCTGTTTCATTTAGCACTTTCTTCTACTTTCTCTTCCTGGGGTAGAATTCAATTACAGAATTCCAAGGTATTTTTTGGAAGTTTTATTGCAATTTAATCTCTAATCTTATAAAACTCCAAGCAGTCTCCTTCAACAAACATTGGTATAAATCATTTACCTCTCTTCCTTCCCACTTAAAGCAAAAAAAATTTAATTTTTAAATGTCAGTGTTTAGAAATCTAATGTCCCCTTAGCTTTAATTTTCAAAGTTAGTACCTTCTGCTGCCAAAGCAGGTATTTCCGATTTCCATCTGCTGTCTCCGTGGGAAGGAGAGTGAGGAGGAAAAAAAAAACTTTCCCTTTACTTTCCACCGCAGCTTAACAATCTTCTGGGAAACAATATATCACTTAAAAAGCCAAAGTTCAGCCAAAAGCCTTCTCTTTCTTCACTTCCTCCTGCACACAACTTGTCCGGCTGAGAGGTTCTTTGTGGCGGCCATTGCTGACCGCCACTCCACCACCTTTGGAAAAGGGAGTTAAGCTGGCTGGGAAAGGGGGGTGCGATATCCTCCGACCCCTGCCCGGATCTCCCCTCTCTTCAGTTATCCCTACAGGATAACTATAGCCTCCTAATCCAATTGGATTGAAGGCACTCCAGCAGCGAGCGCAGCAGGGATCGCGCACGAACGCGAATTCCTGCTGCCTCCGAAGCCTGACAAACCAGAACTGGTAAACCTTGGTGTTTTGAAGAACGTGTTCCTGCGTAATAACACCAAAATAATCCTAACTGCTTACATGCTTGTATCATTTTCAGGATCTATGAATTGAAGCCCCTGAGAGAGATGCTGAAGGTAGAAGCCCATGATTCAGAAATCCTCTGCCTTGAATATTCCAGACCAGAGACAGGTAAGATTTGACTGACGGATTCATTAATCCATTCATCTTGTATACTGGTTTCTTAGAACTTCTGGCACTGAACAGTGTTATACAGCTATCACATCCAAAGTAAGTAAGTAAGTAAAAAGCAACCTAGAACAAAGGAGAAATTTCATGACGGTGAGAACAATTAACCAGTGGAATGGCTTGCCTTCAGAAGTTGTGGTGCTCCATCACTGGAGGCTTTTAACAGGAGACAGCCGCTTGTCTAGAATGGTATACCATAGGGACTCCTGCTTGAGTAGGGCTTAGACTCCAAGAAGTCTTCTAACTCTGTTATTCTGAAGTAGCATTAAAACATCCAAGTAAAAGTCATTTAACATGAAGTCATTTAAAACAGTAAAAAAAATAATTAAATACAATTAAATCATATCTGGCATTCTTCAAGAAGACATGCATACATTTTAGATGGTCCCTGTTAAATCAAGACAGATGCAAGCCTACTTTCAACTGGCAGGCTATTCTAAAGGGCGGGTCCTGTTACACTTTACATCCCTCACTTCATGTTCTCTATATATGTGAAATCACACAGGGTTCTGAACCTGAGCCTTCTATATGTTTAGAGCTAAGATGTCAACTCATAAAACAAGTCCTTTGACACTTTCTTGGTGCCACAGTGGTGCAATTTCTATTCTTTTTCTTAATTTTGTTTTGTCTACCATATTAACAGATGATTAAGTCATGAATCATGTTTCTTTTTTTTTCTCTCCTTAGCATTATCGTTGGGCTATTGTTTGTGGTTGGTTGTTGTGGTTGCATAATTTCTTGCAAGTTTCTTGACCATTTAGAACCAGCTGATTTTGTTATCCAAGGAGCAAGTGATCTTTGTGTTTATGGTTGATATTGTTTGGTCTTTTCAAACTGGTCAGAAGACCACCAACGCTTGTTGCATGTGTCAGGCAGAAAGTCTTAATAAGTAATGGGCATCAACCCAAACTTCCTGTTAATCTGACTTCTGCTTAATTCTCGGTAAAATTTGGATCCCTGAAATATCTTCCCTTTCTGCACTGTGAGCAGTAAAGTTGTCTTTTGACTAGACCCCCCAAACCCATCCGTTAAACCAAATAATACCAGACTATTAAGGGCAGGTTATTATTAGGAATTACTTTTTCTTTTCCTGTGGTACTAGCAGTCTCATTGCCAATTGAAGCTGAAGTAGTCATTGACTGGTAGGACATTGTAGCAGATAATTTTGTGTACTACATTAAGTCCAACCGTAGGCAGCGTAGTTCAAGGTTGTCCAAGCACAAATTCTCAAGCCTGTTGTGAGCAGAGGAGTATACTTCTGGACTTGCTCAATTGTATTAATGTCTGTATTAATATACAGTGCAGATTCCAGACTGATGAGCTGTATTCAAGTATTGGTCTAGCAAAAGTTTTGTATGCACTAGTTAGCAATTGAATATTTCTGGAGGAGAAACTTCATAAGATTAGATTTACAACTCTTAATGCCTTTTTGGCAATGCTGTTACAGTGAGCTCTGGTGCTTAGGTCATTTGATATGAGTAGTCCTAGGTCCTTGACAGAGTAAGGATCGTCAACGAGGTCATATCGTCCTAGTTTGTATTTGGTGTACTGATTTTTTTTTTTTACCAATGTGTCGGACAGAGCATTTGTTGGTCAAGATTTGGAGTTGCCAATTGTTTGACCATTCAGACACATAATCAAGGTCTCTTTGAAGGACAATAGCATTGTCGGTGGTGTTGAATAGTTTTACATCATCCATGAAGAGGATGCAGTTGTTTATAAGGTGATCACAAAGGTCATTTATATAGAGTATAAAGAGTGTGGGTCCTAGAAGGCTGCCATAGGTGACACCGCTGTTAACTGGAGCAGGGTTTGATATAGCGCTGCCTATTTTTACTATTTGTTGCTTGTTTGATAGGAACTCAATAATCCACTTATGAAGGGATCCAGAAATGCCGTAAGAGTTTAGTTTTAACAGTAGTTTGTCATGTACCACTGAATCAAAGGCTTTGCAGAAGTCTATGTAAATTGTTTCTATAGCTTTACCCTGGTCAAGTAGAGTAGTCCATATGTTTTTGCAGTGTAAGAGTTGAAGATTTCAGCACAATTTTCACACTGAATCACATTCTTCACATTCACATTCAGGAGTTTGTGTCTCCTATACCTTTTGGTTAGGGGTCTTTTGATTGTCATTTCAGACCTAAATCATGGTATTTACCAGCACATGCTAAACTACAGCAGTCACTCACAGTTCACATTTGACAGATTGAATGAATGTATTTAGCTGTGATTAGGACTGTGGTTACACCTTGCTAAAAACTTGTCAGGCAGCAATCCAGTCCTTTCAATTTTCTCCCAGCATTAAATGCCACTGTATCTGGCATTCAGTGAAGGTACTTATGAGCATCTTCACTGAAAGGTTGCTTTTGGATTCAGAGGATCTCACTCTCTTCTCCCTTGAAGTAGAATTGATCAGGTTCCTGCTTCACTGAGGGAAAACAGAAAGCCCAAATGGCACATTATTTGGGCCTATAAGTAAAGCAATTAGCTCTGGGTATTTTGGAGCCAGCTTTCCAGTTGGTGCATGATATAGATGTCCTCCTGGTTATAATTCCTGCACATTCTGCATTATTCAATTCACCCATTCTGACAGTGAATGTCCTTAAAATTGCAGCAGGGTCTGATTAGATTGCTTAACTGTATGTGTCTGGGAGTTTGTCTCAGTCTTTTTTCACTAGTCCTGTTTCTGATGAAGGTTATTGTAAAGGACTTGGCTGGGTATATCCTCATTGTTCCTTGGTGGCCCTAATAACCCAAGTTCACAATATGCTTTTTTTTTTAAATCCATGAACCACCTGTGTTCTGCAGTTGTCCAAATGCCAGTGTATTCATCAATGATTAGTCAAAGAATCTCAGTTTCAAGTAAATAAGCATTCTGCTCCTTTTTTTTATCTCCTTAACAGGATTGAAGCTGCTAGCATCAGCAAGTCGAGATAGATTGATTCATGTCTTGGATGCAGAAAAGGACTATAGCCTACAACAAACCCTCGATGAACATTCATCTTCTATAACTGCAGTGAAATTTGCAGGTACTACGATTCTGTTTATGAATCAGCAAATTTTATTTGCTTGTTTGATAGCAGCTCTTGGTGATCTACCAAGGTTTTCTTACCCCACCTTTTCATAAGATCCAAGTTCTTGCCCTTATTAGTAATTATCCATGGTGGCGCAGTGGTTAGAATTCAGTTCTGTAGGCTACTGCCGACTGCCGGCTGCCAGTAGTTTGGCAGTTCGGTTCAAACTGGTTCAGGGTTGACACAGCCTTACATCCTTCCGAAGTAAAATGAGGACTCAGATTGTTAGTGGGATATGCTGACTCTCTAAATTGCTTTGAGTGGGCTGTAAAGTATTATGAAGCAATATATAAGTCTAAGTGCTATTGCTATTGCTATCCCAATAGTGAGAAAACAACTTGTAAACATAGAGCAGGACTATATAATATGCAGTCTTCCAGAAGCTGCTGGAATCAGTCATAAGGATGTTGAACGTTATGGCTCATTAATAATATCTGCAACATGCTCTCCATCTCTGGTGTAGAGTTTGCATACTAAATATTTGCTGGTTTACTGTTGTGAGCAATCAATATATTTTCTGTCAAACTGACTTAGTTTTGCCTTAGATTGCTACACTAGGTTTGATTATTTTGCTTTGTGTTATAGAAGTATTTATAGAGCAATTTGTAGCATACTGATCCTCTTATTAGTGATTCAGATTCTAAATATTAATTTGTGGTGCAATAGTAATGAAAAGTTATTCCTGCCTTCTAGCATGAAAGTAGATGCCATAGCGGCTCACTGTACGATTATCAAATTATACTCTACCTTGTCCACAAAGTGTCATATTTCCTGAATATTTCCTTGTCCACAGAGTGTCATTTTCTAACTATTCTAAATAGTCAATTCTTCTCTCATCCAATGAAAAACATGGCAATGGTTTGCTGTATTTTATCCACACAAGAGTTGCCTTAAAAAAGAATTAGTTCTAAATGTGTAGTCCTGCAGGTATTTAAAGTGGTCCATTGAGGCCAGTGATAAAATGAACATACGGATAATAAGTTAATTATCATCGTATAGAATGGTCCTTGATTGCTGAGCCATCTTGTGGCCACTAATGATTCTCAGATTGGATGGAACTTGGTTCATTGGTATGACAAGCACAGTTGTTTGATATTTTATCTTGGAGACATTCTGTGTCCAACCTTAATTACAGTATTTAAACAACTCAGTTTTGGATTCTGATGGTACAGGTAGCATTAGCTTTTCCCTTACCATCTGCACAGGCTGGAGGTAGTAGGGCTGAGGAAGAGGAAGGAGTTTTCTTTGGCTGTCCTGGAGAGATTTCCCCAAACTTAATTGCAGTGTCAAAAGAGAACGAGAGATGCTCTTTAGGTGGGCTAAGTGCCTCTAAAGTAAGATATTCCTACTTTTTTCCCCTATAACATATTCTAGTAGGAGTGACAAATGGCTTATCTGGATCAGGGACTTCATCTCCCAGAAATCCCCCAGTCAGGCTGGGGAATTCTGGGAGTTGAAGTCCATAAGTCCTAAAGTTGTCAAGTTTGGAGAACCCTGATGTAGAAAAATTGCACATAATGGAATGGAATGGAATGGAGTGGAGTGGAGTGGAGTGGAGTGGAGTGGAGTAGAGTAGAGTAGAGTAGAGTAGAGTAGAGTAGAGTAGAGTAGAGTAGAGTAGA